CCCTGAACCCTACACCCTAAACCCGCAACGCCCTCAAGCCCCAAGCTTCCTCCACCCTGGGCCCTACGCGCGTCTCAGACCCAAAACTCAAGCGAAGCGCAGGGGGTCGCAGCTTAAGCCCGGCCCCTTAAACCATAAACCTGCATCCCTGGCAGGCTGAACCTTAAGTCCCAGACCCTCAACCCTGAAGCCTTTGACACCTATACGATAATATGCCCCAAACCCTGTTCAATTTATGAAGGCCCTTTTGTAGGCCCTAAATTCTAGGATATCTTCAGGTGGGTAGTTACCGTTATAGCAGCCTTATAGAAGGTCTATATACCTTATCGAAGCCTTATAGAAGCCCTAAATACCCTAAACTCCTCACCTGTAGTTTCTTTTGAATAAATCCTAAACCCTCAACCTGGAACTCCTCCCTCGTTCGGCGCCCGTGTAGGAACCCATAGAGCCCTTAAAGGAACGCCTCAAGGAACCCTAAAGGCCCAGCATGATTTAGGGTTTAGGGGTTAGGGTTTGGGCTTCGAGCTTTCGGCATTTCTGGGGCCATGTGCCTTCGACCTAGAAAAATGATCCACGATGAGAAGGCTCTGGGGTTTTAAAGCTTTGGGGTTTGAGGGTTTTCTGTGGTTGTGGAGGGGTCCGAGGGGATGCCTTGCAAGGCTTACCCCGAGGCCCCAAATCGGCTCCTAAGCCCTACCTGGACCCTGAAGAACCTACCGTTTTAGGGTTCCTTATTATGATTTCCTTATATAAGTCCTTTTCAACAAAGGTAGGTTTTTTAGGGTCTAGGTAGAGAAAAACCCTCAAGGCCCTGTAGTGTACCCTTGAAAGGCCCTGGTAGGGACCCCTACGGCCCTAAGCCCTAAGCCCTAAACCCTAAACCCCTAAACCCCAAAACCCCAAAACCCCTAAACCTCAAAACCCCAAAACCCCTAAACCCCTAAACCTCTAAACCCCAAACCTTTTTGGGAACCCTCTTAGCTTCCACAAAGGAAGCCCCTAAAACCCTATAGGATGCCGACGGGTCCGGCGCCGAAGAGTTACTTAAGCATCTCAAGTCAAGAGCTCCAAAAGAGGGGGGTTTGGGGGTTTAGGGGTTTAGGGGTTTTGGGCTTGGGGGTTTGGAGAGTTGGGGGTTTGGGAGTTTGGGAGTTTAGGGGTTTACGGGTTTAAGGGTTTAGGGTTTTGGGTTTGCATAGTTCGAGCTAGTATGGTCTTTATAGTCCGTGTATACGGATGCCATATTAACCAGCCATATTATCGTATACCGTGTTCAAAGGCCCGTATATTCGGCCATTAAGCCTTTGACTTGAAGCTCGAGCCCTGCAGCTCAATGCTCTACGCACTGACTGCAGCTGAGCCACCATACTCAGGATCAGAAAGGCTCGCGCTACCACGAAGACCTGTCCGTCATCGAACAGATGGGCTTGCTCTTGCCTGGGGCCGTCGCTCGGACGACAGTTTCGGTGTTCTGTAGCCTTCCCAGAGAGCCTACATAATGCCCCCTAGTTTAGGAGTATAGCTTCAGTCACACTTGCACACAGGATGTTACGTCCACGCCCTATATTCTCAACATTGACTAAGGCCCATAATGTATATAAACAATCCCGCAAATCTGTAACTGATTCCCAGAAAGAGAAAACGAAGGAACGAATACAGACACAAATAAATCACCAAAAACGGGAACTAGAATGGAGACTATAACCCTAAACCCTAAACCCTAAACTCTATGCTAGCAGCACCCGACCTTTGACTGCAGGTGGTAGTGGCGGACAACGTCCTGAAGCCGGGGTCTCCCCTTTTCCTTTGGCGGCTCTGCAAAGGACCACCGGGGCAAAAGGCTTCGGGTTTCGGGCTTTAGGGCGGTGCATAGGGCTTTTGGGGTTCAGAGTTAGGGGAGTTTAGGGGTTTAGAAGCTTAGGGGGTCTAGGTTTTGAGGAGGGAAGGTTGAGTTTAGGGTTCAGCGTTGAGCCTGGGCAATGAGGGTCCAGGGCTGTCTGGTTCAGAGCTTCGTCTAGGGCCTCCGGGACTTGGGTGAAGCGCGTAATTCACGGCTGGGTGCGGTTCGGTGCCTAAGATTCGGAGAGCAGGCGAGTCCTACGACAACCACGTGGTGCGCGTGAGGGAGTTTGCGATGCCGTCAGACGACTGGATGTCCGACCCTCGCCCGAAGTCTGCGCTTCAAGCGTTGGCCATAGACCCACGAAGCCCGAAGAGGTAAAATTTTTGCGTAGCTTAGAGAGGCGCAACGCAAGGCTGGTTCCCAAGCCCCAATTCTTGGCATTCTTCTGATTGGCTCTTAGGACTTTAACTTTTTGGGCTTCTATACGAAGCTTCATAAGGAGGCCAAAAGTTTAACTTTTGGGAGGGGTTCAGAAGTCAGCCAAGCCCGACATGCTCGATCGTCAATTCCGTGAGCCCCATGAGAGCTCTGAGCCCTAAATCCTTCAAATCCCGACTTCGCCCCAAACCCCAAATCCCCCCTAAACCCTAAACCCCTAAACAAACCCTAAACAAACCCTAGACCCTAAACCCCAAATCCCCAAACCCTAAATTCCGAAGCCGCCCTAGATCGCGAGGTCAGTGTCCTCAGACAACAGGCTGCCGAGGAGTTTGCCGAGTCCTCCGTGGATGTGCCAGTGGTGGTATCTCGACTTTTTTTGGGTTTAGGGTTTAGGGTTTAGGATAGTTCTCCAACTTGGTTTCGCTTTTGGGTCCTTTTGGTTTGTAAGGGTGCCGTAGTAATTTTGGAGCCTCAAAAGGGACCCTGACTTAGGGAATGGAATCTGATTGGGCCTTTCTGTGATGAGGCCTCGGGGTCGCCTGTTTTGTGGGTTGCTGTATCCGGAATCTTCTGGATTGTTCTATCCAGAATCATGCAATTTAGTGGTATATACCGATTTATATCAGGGTCCCCTTATGTTCCGAAGCTCCCTCATAGGCGAGATGAGTCAGGATTTACGATTCACCGTTCAGGCGTTAGGTCATAGCATCGACACTCTGGCACGTCGGGCCTTTATTTTCATGGCAACCTCATAGTGACCCCCACAGGAACCCTAAAAGGAACCCTCGTAGCAAGTCTTCTAACAACCCTCAAAGGATCCCTTTCTGGCAACTCTTGAAACACTTCTTTCGCGACTCGCGACCCCCGCAAAAGGAACCGTTCTTGCAGCGCCTTCGAGTAGCCCTTATTAAGGACCCCTTTAAAGGGATTTCTTAAAGGAATCCCTTTAAGGACCCCCCGTAGAGGAGCCCAGAACCTCGCAGGAGAAGGCCAAAGGTGTCAGCCCCGCTGGCAGCTGGCCCACGGCCCCTGAGGAGCTCATCCAGCTGCTACTCGGTAGGTTTTTTTTTTGTGCAACTGCCAGGGTTCTTAGAAGGGCCCTTGGAAGGGTTTCTATGAGGCTTGCTATCAGGGTTTCGCGTAAGGGGTCATGTTCGGGTTTAGGAATCTGGGGTTCAAGGCGATGTAGGGGTTTGGGGTCTAGGTGTCTTGGTTTGCGGAGGGTGCCTTGCTTTCGAAGCTTTAGGCCGTTTAGGGCGCTCGCGAGACGCTTCAGTTGAGACATGCTGGGAGCAGTGAGACCGTCCTTGGACCGAGGTTCCCTTTGTAGTGTCCGACGCGTCGTTGCTTGCAGGGATTGTTTGATGAAAGTAGCTGCGCACGTGACTACAATCTACAAAAGTCAGCACATCAAGGCATGTACCGCGCTGTACGTCTGAAGACACCCCCCGACCCCTAAGCCACGCCTCGCCTGGATTGTCTGAGTCTGAGTTGTGAGAGCCGAAAACCCCTGAGCCCCTACTGTTGATGATATAAAGCCTGAATGACGTTAAGGACCCTAAACTATGGGAATTTTGGTATGTTCCGTACTCTGGGTAATGCAGGATTTATATCATCAACCATAGTTAAGGTTCCAAACCATTATTAGATCTTCTCACGACATGGTCAAACCCGGCTAGCGGCTGGCGCCCCGAAGGCCGGGCTTTTGCGCTTTTCGGCTGTGCGATGCGTCTTAGACACCTAAACACTCGCTCTTGTTCCGATGGTTCTTCAACCTCAGATTCCCTTAATCCGGCCAGGGTCGTTTAAGGTATACCTGAAACACAGCGGCAAGCCGTAAGTCCAAGAACTTGAACCCCGAATTCAACAACGCCAAGTATAAACCCTTCAGAACCCTACACCGTACCGCAATCCACCATAAAACCCTAAATCCCCAGCAGCCTGAAACCGTGTAAGATCCTGCGATGCCCTGAAAGCCGAGGCAGTGGGAGTCGGATCGCATCCGCGCTCAGGCGACCCGGCCGGGAAGCGGCAGCGTCAGCTTCGACGAGTGGGCGAAGTACGCGACGCACATGAAGGAAGGTGTAGCCTTTAGCGTCTAGGTGGTCCTATGAGGGATAAGGCTTTTTCGTGCTTTTCAAAACTGGGTTTTACATATGGTTTATATAAAGGTCCCTCTAAGGGCGTCTGTAGGGGAAAGGGTTGGGTTCATGCAAGGATTGCTGTGATTGTTCCATCAAGCTCTGCTCAAACTTTTCCATATAAGGATCTATGAGGATTCTGTATGAACAGGTATCAGGTTCTGTAAGGTTTTTTTCTTTTTTATTGGGGATCTCTAATGATTCTATACACGGAACTGTCAGGGCCCTTTAAACCCTGTAAGCCCTTAACCCTAGTTTAAGGGTAGAGGGTTCAAGGTCAGGTTCCGGGTTTTGGGGTTTGGGTTTATTCAGGATAGGAAGATCAGGGTGCAGGATTGGGTTTAGGGTTTAGGGGTGTGTACACAGTGTGTGCGCGGCGGGTTCGCCTATACTTCAGGAACAGGGTCGTGCCCACCAATCGCGCACTTGCGCCAGCATGCAGTCCCGCCCCAACTTGGGCCCCAACCATCCCAACTATTCTCAATTGGGGCCCAGACCCCCTCACGTGTACCCCCAAACCACACAGAAAAGGGTGCAGAAAATTGCGTTGTTCCTAGCATCGGACCAGACCTTTCTGGGGATACCCCAAGCCACACGCCAAAAAGCACAAGTGGACCCCAATCCCAATGGTGCGGGATTTGGGGTAAGCGGTCCCCGTATACCGGGAGGCTTTACCCTCCCTCACCGTTCTGTCGGACACTCGGCCGGCTCGGTCGGAGCCTCAAGCGCCCATGCAAATGGTCAGCGGCGCTCTCGGCAGTTTAGGGTTTAGGGTTCAGGGTATGTCGTGCTGCAAGAGAGTAAGTCATGGCGGCATAGATGTCTCGAAGACCCAGAGCTTTGAGCCCGGCGGTCCCAAAGCAAAAGCCGAGACCCAAAGCCTCCTGAAGCCGAAGCTTCAGCACAGAGGTCTGAGTGATTACGAATCATATCCCCCTGGTAGTCCCTATACTAAAACCTAAACCCTAAACTCCTAAACCCTATACTACGAAATACCAGAATTCGCCAGAACCCGTTTTTCATTCATTCATTGAGGCCCCTGAGGCTGCCTTCGCCAGGAAAGAGCCCAAAAGCCTGAACGTCCCGTAGTGCTCCGCAGAATCCCTATAAACTCCACTAAAGTCCTATACATTCCGTTTTTAAAACCCTGCAAGTCCGTATAAAAGCCTAGCAAAAACTGCCAAAACCCCTTGAACTGTCGGGTCAGGAGAAGATGGCCCAGCACGGGAGCTTCGTCGAAAACTGTAAGGAGTCGCCATCAGATGTTTCAAGGGTTCAGGGTTTGGGGTTCAGGGTTTAGAGCTTGGTTTAGGAGATCAGGGTTTCGGGACTAGGGCTTGGGCTTAGGAGTTTTGACGAAGGGCTTTGTGTGTTTGTGGGGCTTCGGGCTTCGGGTTTAGAACATAGGGCTTCGGCTTTCGGGGCTAGGCTAGGGTTTAGGGTTGGGGAGCTAAGGCTCAGGGGAGTCTGGGTTGATAGTGATAGGGCATAGGACTTTTGATTTTTTTCCGGCGTCTTGGGTCCCGCCTTGCGTTTCTAGGAGTGGTCGTGTGTCCACGGAGTCGAAGGGGTTACGGGTTAGGGTTCGGGGTTTGGGATCTTAAGGGTCAGGTGCTAGAGGACCGGGAGTTTGCAGCAGTTGCGGTTTGGGTTCCGGGATGCAGGCTCAAGGTGTAGGTCTGGGGTTTCGGGTTTAGGGTTTAGGGCTAAACCCTAGACCCTACACCTTAAACCCTAAGGATTTTCGATCGAGCCTGGTCGCTTAAACTAAACAAGAAACAGGATAAACACATAGGCTTGGAATATGGGTGGAACACAGTTTCCCTCAACCTCCATTCAGAGTGCTAGGGACCTGCAGCAAATTGCAGCGCAGAATCATGTTTTAATTTTGTCTCTGCGGACTCACCCAAAGCAAGCTTTGCCGATGAATCCCAGGATAGTGGAGACCGCAGATGCTGCCGAACTGGAAGAGGGCGCCGAACTTTGGCCTGCGTCCTAATTCCCAATGGCTCCTCGCGGTTTCTGCAGCCCTGCAGCCGGATCCACGCTTTCAAGAACATCCGAGACTTTGAGCCGTAATTCCTGAATTAATGAGGTAGGGATGCGCGAGCAAGGAGACCTGAAGCCCAGACAATGGAGGGGTGGTGGCCAAAACGGCCAGTGCTGCCCCCTCGATCTGCTCTCCTGCGCTGGCGAAGAGACAAAATCGGCCTGGCTTCATGCTTCCGAAGTTGCTGTTTCGTCTTGACGGTGTCGCCTTTCGCAGCTTAGTCCAGTTTCACCCGCAAGGCTAAAGCCCGATACCCCATCCCGTTTGCTAACATAGCTTGCCACTGAAGAAATTGATGAGTCAACCCTGTTTGCATCCAATGCAGCATGTATAGACAGCATGTTCCAGATGTTTGCCCAAAGCATGCGTGCTGTGTGCAAGCAAGTAGGGGGTCGGTCTCCAGGTGACAAGAGTGTCGAGGTCGAAGAAATTTAGCGGAAGTTTTGCGGTAAGGAACACTCCCTCCTAGAACATCCTAGAACCACAGGCTTTAAAACTCGGAGCCTCTCGAACTCAAGCTACTCTGCTATGCGGGCTTCGTCCTAGCCATGCAGAAGGGGAGAACGTGGAGCCTTAACCCTGAACTCCAGACCGTAAACACTCCGCCATCCGGGCTTGGGTCTTCGTGGTTTAGGGTTGAGGGTTTAGGGTTTAGGGGAAAGACTGATGCCCACAATGACCTGGATTCCGAAAGCTTGAACCCCAAACCCTGGAAAAGGCATTGTTTCGAGCAGAAAACTGCATGAACATTGTACCCCCGCGCCGGAACAGGCTAGCTGCATCAGCTGAGGAGAAGGCTCGGTGCGGTTTGCCGGGATTCGGATTCAGGATTCGTTGGGCCGCGGCGTTGGATGTGGGGAATTTCTTGGCAGACCGGCCAGATGGCTCCACATCCAAAACTTCCTGTATGAATAGAACAACTTCCCGACTGGGCTTCACGGCCAGACCCCCGGCACGGCCCTGCCTGCATCGCCCCGTTCCGCCATCGCGGAGGCTCCATTTTTGCGTGAGTAAGTGGGGATGGGGGGGGGCTGGCAGATGAAGAACTTGATGATTTTCATGGTGATGATGACGATGGCAACGATGATGTTGATGGGGACTTTAGCAGTGGTGATGCTGACAGTCATGATTCGGAATGGAATCGGTGCCTGCACAGTTTTCTAGGTGACCCTAAACCCTAAACCCCAAACCCTAAACCCTAAACCCAAAACCATTCCGAGAATGGAATTTGGGACCTAATTCCCTAGAGTGGGCACTTGGACCCAAAGCGTTTTGCCTGTACTGGTACGTAGA